GGGAAAGAGAATTGGAATAGCGTCAGACTTTCTAATGAAAATGGAGAAATATTTTTAAGACACTTAAGAATGTGAGTGGGACTGGCAGGTGGCACGTGGTTATGGTGCTGGACTCCCACGTTCCCGACTGGTTTGAGTCCTGGACCTGAAGGCTTACTTTCTCTCTCTCTTTAGTGAGTGCATGTGCGCTGGAGCAAATTAAAAAACAAGAGGTAAAGTGAAATAGTTCTTTAAAATTAGAAGGAAAAAAATGTGTGGGCTGAGCATTTTATATTCAACAAAACTGACTTTCTTATATAAAGCCATAGACAAATTATTATTAAGATTAACATGTAAGACATCAGAGACAGTTGCTTTCCTGAGTCCTTCCTGGATATGTACTGAAGTGACTGAGCTCTGGATAATCAAATTGATTACCAAGACATCAGACTAGCCTTGATGACGAACATTAAACATGATTACTTCTAGAATGAAGACTAAAGGAGGATTAAAATAGGGTGTAAAGGCTACAGCTTTTGTTCATATACAACTATAAAAAAACAGAAGTGACAATAAAAGGAATACATGTAATTTAATTTGTTGGCATAAAGTTGTTTATGGCATCACCTTATGGTCCTTTTAATTTCTATAAAGTAGATGATAATGTCCTTTTTTTCCACTCATAATTTTAGTCCCAGTTTTCTGAATTGGTATTTTTTTTTCCTTTTTTTTTTTTTTTTTTCTGAGTTCACATATCTAAAGAGTTTTACATTCTTTGAAAAGAACCAACTTTTGTTTTTTCAGGTTTATTTTCATTGATTTCCATACTAGTATTTTTATTTTCTTCATTATACTTGTTTTAGATTTAGTTTAGGTTTTTTATTTTTTATTTTTTAAGAGAGTGAGATTTTTGCTATAAGGAGTGAGGGTGTGCACACTCACCAGAGAGACCATATCTAAAGAGTTTTACATTCTTTGAAAAGAACCAACTTTTGTTTTTTCAGGTTTATTTTCATTGATTTCCATACTAGTATTTTTATTTTCTTCATTATACTTGTTTTAGATTTAGTTTAGGTTTTTTATTTTTTATTTTTTAAGAGAGTGAGATTTTTGCTATAAGGAGTGAGGGTGTGCACACTCACCAGAGAGACAAAGAGAATCAGAAAGCAAGAAATCACCCTCCTAGGGGATGGCCACACGGCAATCCCTTCACCTCCATTCTCCTCTTGGGGGTTTTGGACATGCATACACACATGGCTGGCATGGATTTTAATTTGCCTGGTCCAGGAAAGACTTGAACTGTGGTCGATTATGTGGGAGTCCAGTAATATCACTTTTATTTTCAACTCGTTTTTTCCTTTGAATTTGACGTGTTTTGGATCTTGCATTTATTCAATCTAACAACCTTTATCTTTTGATTGGAGTGTTTCTCATTTTGTTATTGGTGATAGTTGGGCTTACATTTTACATACTGTTTCTTTGTCTTCTTGATAGCTTTGGTCATTTTTATACCTTTTTTTGCTTTTGCTTTTGTATTAATTAGTTGTTTTCTAGCACATCATTTTAATTCCCTTGTCGCGCTTTTTAAACTACAATTTTTGAGATTTTTAAAAAGTCATTATTCTAGGAACTACAATGTAAATTTCATCAAAATCTACTGGCATAATAACTTACTTCTCATAAAGTACAGAAATTTTGCTCTAGTAATAGCTCCATTCTCTCTGCCCTCTATGATATTATTTCATTTAGATTGCATTTCTGTTATGAGCAGCGTAGTGTTAGAGTTACTGCTTTCTACAGGCACACTTTGGAGATATTGTGGGGTTGGTTCCAAATCACTGCTTTAAATAAAGTGAAAATCACAGTAAAAGGAGTCATAGATTTTTGGTTACCCAGTACATATAAAAGTTACATTTACACTCTTTTTTAGTCTGTTCAGTGTATAATAGGATTCTGTCTGAAAAAATGTACATACCTTTATTAAAATATTGAGTTGTTGAAAAAGTCATGATGCATTTTGCATAGAAAACATATGTCCTGATTTATCCAACCCACTACTTTATTGCTAAAAATGCTAATGATCATTTGAGCCTCAGTGTGTTGTAATCTTTTTGCTAGTGAAGAGTCTTGTCTCAATGTTGATAGCTGCTGAGTAGGGTGGTGGTTGCTGAAGATTAGAGTGACTATGGGGATTTCTTTAAATAAGACAGCAATGAAGTTTGCTGTATAGATTGACTTTTCCTTTTATGAAAGATTTCTTTGTAGTATGTGATGTTGTATTACCCACTGCAGGTCTTTTTTTAAAACTGAAGTCAATCCTGCTTAACGTACTGACCAAATGTGTCCACTCTGACAGGAACTGAAGGACTCAATTACAGAGAAATAGAGTAACAGTAGCTACCAAAACTACATGGAGGTGGAAGTGAGGTGTTTAGGAGGAAATGGTTAACAGATACAAGAATCCACATAAACAAATAGAATAATAGTTTATGGAACAGGTACATAGATTATGGGACAACCATTCTATACCCCATAAAGATGTTAAATCTATATGTAAACCAGAAATCAAAAAAGATAAACATTGGAGTCATTCTGCTCAAACCATTGCTTTATCAACTAATATTCTAAATCCTCTGTTGTTGTTTCAGCAGTATTTACAGTGTCATTATTAGGAGTAGATTCTATCTTAAGAATCAACTTTCTTAGTTCATCTGTAAGACACAACTCCTCTCCATTCAACTTTAATCTTTATTGTTTTTTTTAAGGTTTTTGCCATAGGGCATGTGCACTGGTCCAAGAGGAGAGAGACAGTGAGAGGGAAAGGAAGAAATCACCTCCCTGGAGAGATGGCCGTGCTGCAATCCCTTCCTCTCCATTCTCTTCCTGGGGTTTTGGGCACACATATGTGCCTGGTATGATTTTCTTTCTTTTTTTTTGGGAGAGGCTTTTTTGCTATATGGCGTGTGCACTCACCAGAAGGAGAGGGATAGAAAGCGAGAAATCACTCCCCGGGGCGGGATGGCCACGCCACAATCCCTTCTTCTCCATTCTCCTTCTCAGGATCTTGGGCACATGTGCACACGTGCCTGGTAGGAGTTTTAAGCCACCAGGTCCGGGACTTGAACCGTGGTTGACTACATGGGAGTCCAGTGACATAGCCATTATGCTAACTCCTGGTATGATTTTCAAGCTGCCAGGTTTGGGGACTCGAACTGTAGTTGGCTGTTCAGTGGTTAACCACTATGCCACCTGTTGGCCCCTCCAAGTTTAATCTTGAGATTGTAGCAATTCAGACACAACTTGAGACTCTACTTCTAATTCTTTTTTCTTTTATTTATTATTATTATTTTAATTTGCTGTAGGGCATGTGTGCGAGAGAAAGAGAGAGAGAGAGAGAGAGAGAGAGAGAGCGAGCGAGCGAGAGTGAGAGCGAGCATGCGTGCGCTTGCGCAAGCTTCCAGGTCCTAGAATCAAACTGGTCAGCCACGTGGGAGTCAGTGTCTTAACCACCATACTACCTACCTGTTGGACCTTCTGCTTCTAATTCTAGTTCTGCTGTTTCTGCCAAATCTTTAGTTAATTCCTAACTTAAGTTTTAAATACCTCACAGTCATCTTTGAGAGTTAGGATCAACAAACTGCTTTTATTACTGAAATTTTGGGGCCGTAGGTGGGATGGTGGTTAAGACTCCCACATGGCCGACCATGGTTCGAGTCCTGGATCAGATTGTTTGTTCTTTCACACCTATTGCTGATTTAAATTTACTTCCCAATGACAGCTGTAATTCCTGGGCTTTTTCTTACTCTTCACTTTTCTCTTTCTGATGACATGCATTATGTGAAAAAGTGGAACATTTCCGGAAGTCATTGAGAAGTGGAAATCGACAGCCATGTTGACTCAGGCTTTTTCTCTGTTGGATAGCTTGCAGTGTGTCTGGGGTCTGCTGGCAATTAGGGACCATTTCTAAAGTGCTTGGTTGTGATTTTGGGGACAGGTTGAAAATATATTTGAATTATTACGTGAATTTTTTTCATAGGTACATTGAATTTACAAGATGGGTGTTACCTAGGATTTGTATGTGTTAATGTGGACTAGTAGGATTTTAATAAGAGAAGTAATGTTATGATAGAAGAAGAACATTTAGAAATAAGCGAGTTTTTCTCTTGTTAACAGGCAGGCAGTGGTTAAAGGTTCCCTTCCACATCCTTTTGCCTTGACATTATTCGAGGACACATTGTACTGGACTGATTGGAATACGCACTCCATTTTGGCTTGCAACAAGTATTCTGGCGAGGGCCTGCGTGAAATCCATTCTAACATCTTCTCTCCCATGGATATACATGCTTTCAGCCAACAGAGGCAGCCAAATGGTAAGTGATCTTGATTTTTAAATTGCGAGTTGGAACAGCTTTGTAGCACTCTGATGTCTGGCTTTAGTGAGGGTCAGGAGGAAAGAAGACGAATCCAAATGGAAGAGAATGGAAGAGGAAAAACTCCAAAACATAATTCAGGTTAAATAATAGCCTTAGCCACTTGGAGCCTGACATCTACCGCTGCAGAGCAGCTCGGCCCTTTGTTGGAACAGGGCTTATGGAAGTGGAGAAGAGAAAAAAACCTAGGGCACTCATATGCTCAGCTTACAGATGCATTCCTTGTCTGTATTTCTTCTCTCAATGTGCGTTTGAAAATGTTTATGTGTGTTTAAAACAAGATAGTTCTGTTGAATGAAAACCTGTTAATCTAGCTGATGAATATTAGTACCTCAGCTCAATGAATAAAATACCTGCTTAAATTTTTCTGTGCATACCTCTCATCTTACCCCCCCCCCTTTTTTTTTCTTAGTTTTGTTTCTGTTTTTGGTCAACCATTAAGATGTGGACTGTGGCTGCAGAAAACAATTTCTTGTAAGAGAGAACTGGAATTAGATGTAAAAGGAATATGAGAATGTTGAGTGTTTGCACTTATGTGTAAACAAATGTCAGGCTTGTGTCTGAATGTATTGATTGTGTTATATTGGAATCCAATGATCATGAAACATTTTAAAATGTTTTAAAACATATGTGTTACTCTTTTGTAAAAAAGAAAATGTTTAAGGTCCAGATGTGGTGGCCCAGGTTGTAGGGATTCACCACTGCTTACTACTGGAGCCATCTGGGAAGGTCCTAGCTGTAGTTCCTTGAACATATCAGGTGTGCTGGGCCTGCGGTTGTGCCCAGGATCCTGGCTGGCTGGGAGGTTTCAGGGCTAGATCACTGTGTGGGATGACACTCCTGGAGGATGTCTCTGCCTCTCTCTCTCAGTGAATAAATTTAAAGGGAAAAAAAAAAGGTATCTAGTTACTCCTGTTAATTTTTTTCTTCATGATTAGCCATCGGGGGAGAAAATTTTCCTTTTTTTTTGATATGTCATTGTTGGTCCTTCATGTTGTACTAGTTTGAGAATTTGTGATTATATTTACTATTGCTCTTCTATCTTTCGTATTCCAGTGTTTTTTGTATTACATTGATTTTTTTCCCTATGAAACGTACTTAATATATCTCTTTTTATAGTATCTATAAGTTTGCCAGTTAATTAAATTTCTCTGCTTTTCAGCTCTTCCTCTTTTAATCTATTCTGCTCATCCCTTCCATGTTAATCTTTCCAAAGTGTGAATTTTCAACATTGTAATTATAGTTGGCTCTCTATATTTGTGGCTAGTCTGTACCTGCAGATTCAGCCAACTGTGAATCAAAAATATGTAGAGTAAAAAAAAATAGAAAATGTCAATGGAAGCTCTATTCCTTGGCCCAGGATCCCATGTTGTGACCATGGTTTGAATCCCCAGCCCGATTATCCTGAAATACACTGGGCACAGATGTGAGTGCCCAAGATGTGATGGACCGGAGGACTGGGAGAGGGAGACTGGCATCACCAGACGCTGTGGAGGGTGCTCATCTCTCTCACACTCACCTTTTCACCCTCTCACGTGTATGCACATGCAAACTCTCATGAATAAAGAATAAATGACATGGGAACCAGCAGTTGGCGTAATGGCTATGCCACTGGACTCCCACGTAGTCGACCGCGGTTCGTGTCCCGGACCTGGTGGCTTAAAACTCACGCCGGGCGCGTGTGCGTGCGTGCCCAAGATCCCAAGACGAGAATGGAGGAGAAGGGATTGCGGCGTGACCATCCCCCCTGGGGGGTGATTTCTCGCTTTCTGTCTCTATGTCTCTCTCTGTCTGTCTGGCGAGCGCACACCACTATAGTGAAAACCTCTCCAAAAAAAAAAAAAAAAGAAAGAAAGAATAAATGACAGTATAGCTTTAAAATAATTAAGGTTAAAAAATACAGTGTAACTATTTAGATAGCATTTACATTGTATTCCGTATAATAATCTAGAGATGATTTGAAGTTTATGGGAGGATTTGGGTAGGTTATATGCAAATGCTGTACTATTTTACATTATCTAAGGGGACTCAGGCATCTGTGATTCTGGTATCCGTGGCGGGGAGGGTCCTGGAACCAATCACCTACAGATACGGGGATGACTACCTTTCTTGACATTTAGTGCCCTTTACCACATTCTTTGTGTTCATTCTGTTTTAATTCCTGTCAGTCAACAGAAACTTGAACCCCCAGATACACTATTCACCTTATTATTTTACCCCGCGTACAGCCTCCAGGCTTTTATTCACTTGGCGTTATCATATTTAAAACTGCCTTCAGTCTATCCTTTCTTCCCTTTAGGGCTCCTCTTATGTCCTCCTTTCTCCATGAATCGTTTCTTCAGTCAAATCTCAGTGGTTTATTTCTCATTTGACTCTATATGTAAAAGTATACAAGATAGCATTTAGTTTCATTGTTTTGTGTTGCTGATTTTACTGTTCGTTAATTTGGGTTTATTGACTAGATTATAAGCTCTTTCAGGGCAGGGATCTCCTGTTTTACTTCTTGTGTATTCCTTTTATATAAAATGCTAAGTAAATTCTCACAGATTAATTCCTTTCCTTGCAGATGGCTTGGCAGTCAAGCACCTGGCTGACATTTGGAAATAATTTTGGTTTATCGCAGTTGTTCATGTTATGGTTGTTAACCTTTGTGTACCCTAGAGTGAGGGAGGTCAGCCATAATCATTGGTATTAATCAATGTGATTTATATTTGACAGCTACAAATCCATGTGGAATTGATAATGGTGGTTGTTCCCATTTGTGTTTGATGTCTCCAGTCAAACCTTTTTATCAGTGTGCTTGCCCGACTGGGGTCAAACTCCTGGAGAATGGAAAAACCTGCAAAGACGGTAAGGAAGGGAAAATGTTATGATAGCAGTTGGGATTCTTTATGATATATTTGATTTCTCTGTAATGAGTTCTGAAAGTGACAGTACTTTGGGACACTAGTCAATCTCACAGGGTTCAGAAATGGTTACGTAACAGGACTGTTTTGTGTTTTATGGAAGGCATTTATTGAGGACTATTTATAAATTAGCATTTTAAGTAAAATATTTAAGTATATTAATACTTAAGTATTTTAAGTATTTTTGAAATAACTAGGTGCTATTTTCTTTACCAGATCTCAGTCATTAAATCACAATTGGTTTCTGTGGAAGTGAATATTACTTCTTATAAACAACACATTTTTCATAGTAGGTAGCACTTATGAATAACCTCTGTGAAGAGAAAATGTTTATTCAACTTTTATCTCTAAAGAATCTCATGGGACAGATTGAGTTTCTAAAAAATGATTGAAGATCAAAAGATATTTTTGGTTGTTAGTGACAGAGAAGTGCTTTCAGAAGAAGAAAAAAATTACGTATTATACTGTTTAAAAGCAACAACCTTTTTATATTTAGTAGTCTTGTGTTGCCTCCTCTCCTTATTCTGAATTCCCTGTAGAGAGAGAGCATGTTGGAGAAGAGACTGATTTAGGATACTTTAGTAGTGATTTAGGGACTTTTGGTTTGGAAGAACACCAGTTCTTTTTTTGTTCTTAATAAGAATGTTATTCTTCATTCTTCCCCCTATGGATCACCATCTGGTTCTCTAGCAACCAGCAAGACCTGGTAAGAAAATTGTTATATTTAGCAGTGACTTCTTTATCTAACTCTGAAAAGTAGAAGCCTTTATTTTGGAGTATGTTAGAGAGTTCCTGGCAAGAGGGTCAGAGAGTCAGAGAGATGGAATTGAGTCTGTGTGCGGATGTTTGTTATGACTTGGCATTGATAAATTATCCTCATAGTCAAAGGTGAAGCTGGCTGGCCTCTTGTCAGATGGTTTCCATGGAAAACAATAATTTGGTTTCCATTTAAAACAAAAGGTTTTTGTAATGTTTCTTTCTTGTTTAAAAGTGTAGCCTGACTTTGAAACAGAGGATTTATTTTAGCAATAGTGCCCTAACCTAATCCTTCACAGCAGTACAAATGTACATTTTTAACCAGTTGTGTATTTCGGATATATATTATGACGTGTAGTAGCTTTAAGTTAACTATTCTGTTTTGATCACCTTGCCCAGATGAACAGTTCTGTGCCTTCATTATTTGCAAAGTTTGGGACTGGTTCCTTTTGGTACTTACAGAAGCTATGAATTGTACTTGTCATTGGGGTATATTTCCTCCAAGTCAGAATTCATTTATAATTAGCCCTAGAGTCAGGGTGGCAGTTAGCTTGGTGTTTAAGGTGCTGGACTCCCACGTGGTGGACCATGGTTTAAGTCCCGGACCTGACTTTCTTACTTTCCTCTCTCTTGTCTGTCTCTCTCTGGTCAAACTAAAAAATGATAATGATGAATAAAATTAAATAAATAATTATAAAAAAATTAGCCCTAGAGTCAAAAAGTGGAGATTGCAGCTTCATTCTACTTCTCAGTTTTTTCTTCTGTAGTTTTCAGATTGATGCTTGAAGTTTACATTTGGACTCAGATCATTTGTTAGGAATCTTTTCTTGCTATTACAGTTATTACTTTTTTTGAGAGAGAGAGATGTTTGCTATAGGGCGTATGATTGCTGGAGAGACAGAGATAGAGAGAGACAGAGATAGAGACAGAGAGACAGAGGTGAGAAATCGTCCCCTGAGGGGATGGCCTTGTCACAATCCCTTCTTCTCCATTCCCCTCTCAGGATTTAGGGCATGCACATGTGCCCAGCCTGAAGTTCAAGCTGCTAAGTCCAGGACTTGAACCACAGTTGACTACGTGTAGTCCAGCATGTAACCATTAAGCCATCTGCTGGTTCTTTACTTTTTTAAAAAAAATTAGCTTCTTATAGCTAAAATGAATTTTTTGTTGATTTACTTGGATGCTAAAAATGAAAACAAAGACCAGATCAACAGACTTATTAAAAGGACAAACTAAGGTATTCACCATGATTATTTCTGTAATCTGGTCAGTAAATAAACAGTGACTGTTTTCAGACTGCAATAAAAAACAAAAAGAAAACAAGAAAAGATTAAGCTTAATATCTTCATTCTCAGTTATGTTTTTATTAAGTTTTGATTTGAAAATTCAGTGAAATAATCTGGAGGTCTTTATTTTTTAATACTAATACAAGAGGTCTTCAAAAAGTTCATAGAAAATGCATATTAACAAAAAATACATGGATTTCCAACTTTTTTGCCCCAAATGCTCAGTACCTTCCTGAGTTTTACGTTTATGTCCTTTAGTCCTCATAGCAAATATATGAATATAGATAAGGAGACTAGGTTCAGAGAAATTGTTTTGTCTAATATTATTGTATGCACCTTCTTGAATCACTTTCTACTGGATCTTCAACTCTTACTCTTAACCACTGTCTTATGCTTATCTGATCCCACTGCTCCATTGCTGCTGTCTTTATAGCTTCCTTTGTCCACAGTTTGGCAGGTATTGTCCTATATTGCTCTTTGTTAAGACAGCTTTACTGTGATGTCATATTTACATACCATAAAATGTATTCATTTCAAGTGTATAATTCAGTAATTTTTAACAAATGTATAGAGTTGTGCACACCTTACCATAATCCAGTTTTAGAACATTTCCTTTAACAGCATAGGTTCTTGTCCTAGATTTCTTTACCTTTTTAAACAGACATCTTGAACAAAAGATCTGTAGTCTACATCTCCTTTCTCATTTTGTACTCAGATACTTAGCTTCTTAGTCATCCCTTGTTGGTGTTTATTATACCTTTAAATAGCGATATTAATTCCAGGAACTATTTAATGAATAAAACCAGGAAGTGGATCAAAACTTGATTAAGAGAATTTGACCATTATAGAACTTGACTGCATGGCAGACTTTTCACTGTTTCACTCCGTTGCTTTCCTTTTTCATTCTAAAAAGAGCTATTAGGTCACCAGGAAAGTCATGATGTATTTTTCTATGTAAAAATGCATCATGACTTTCCTGATGACCCAGTAGTACCCTTTTATACTCATTTCTTTTTCAATTCCTAAGAAGTACTGCATTCTTTATATAGAGTGGCTAAATTTTGCCTGTGCATTTCAGTTATTTCTTTGTTCTTCTAGGTGCCACTGAATTGTTGCTTTTAGCCCGAAGGACAGATTTGAGACGCATATCTTTGGATACACCAGATTTTACAGACATTGTTCTGCAGTTAGAAGACATCCGTCATGCCATTGCCATAGATTATGATCCTGTGGAGGGCTACATCTACTGGACTGATGACGAAGTGAGGGCCATACGCCGCTCATTCATAGATGGATCTGGCAGTCAGTTTGTAGTCACCTCTCAAATTGCCCATCCTGATGGTATTGCTGTTGACTGGGTTGCACGAAATCTTTATTGGACAGACACTGGCACTGATCGGATAGAAGTAACAAGGCTCAATGGGACCATGCGGAAGATCTTGATTTCAGAGGACTTAGAGGAACCCCGGGCTATTGTGTTAGATCCCATGGTTGGGTAAGAAGCTCTGTTGATAATAAATTCTCCCTGGTGTTTCTGTTTTCTATAGGCCCCTAAAGTCACTGATGAAGATAACACGAAGTTTATGTTCATTTTCAATAAACAGCTCTTCAATGGCTGTCCATTTTTAGAATGTAGTGATTAGAATAAAATATCAAGAATTGCTAGTTTTTTGCTTTGAATGTTTTAAATAATTTTTCTTTTTAAATTAAGTTCATGCTTGCTAACTTTGGGTGGTGTTTGCAGATTTTGCTCAGGTTGCATCGTGACCATGAAAAATGTGGAAATTGTTTTCAGAACTCTTTCCATTCTTCTAGAAGATGTAATTTCATCCCATTTCATTACATATAGTTAGAATATATCTTACTTTATGTTTCCCCAGATACATGGATGACCCAATTTCCAAAACTTTGTTGGGCCGTAGCTTTACTCCTAATTTTTATGTCCCTCCCCCCTTTTTTTTTAACTTTAACCCTCTGACATAGTCCAGAGATGGACAAGTTTCTAATACTCACGAACATAATTTTGTTACTATGAGATTTATCCTGAGGAAGAATATAGTGGCAAATTATTATACCTTAATGTATACCAATGCTTTGGAACCATTTAAACATTTGGGTGTGGGACCAGCAGTGTAATGACTATGTCGCTGGACTCCCACGTAGTCGGCTGCGGTTTGCATCCTAGACCCGGTGGCTTAAAACTCATGCTGGGCGTGTGTGCGTGCGTGCCCAAGATCCTGAGAGGAGAATGGAGGAGAAGGGATTGTGGCGTGGCCATCCCCCCTGGGGGGTGATTTCTTGCTCTCTGTCTCTGTCTGGCGAGTGCACACGCCCTATGGCAAAAACCTCTCAAAAGAAAAAGAAAAAACAAAAACAAAACAAAAATAAAAACAAAACATCTGGGTGCCATAAGAATCACTTAGCATTATAGGAAAAATTAATTATGTAGGGAATTTGAGTTTGTAATCTGAGTATTACTACTGGGATAACCTTGTTGTATCAAGGGATGACAAACCATCAAGAAAAAGAAAAGTTCATGGGAAAAAAGTGAAATATTTTGGAAAAAGTAAGTAAAAATAAAATCTCATTATTGGGAGGTATTCTTCAGGATCAGTTCTAGAAAACACTGTTTGATCTGAAAATTTTCTACAAATCTTACACATTGCTATTATAAGTGCCTTAAACATATTTTTCATGTTAAATTGTGTGTGTGTGTGTGTGTGTGTTTTAAATCTGTGTCGTTGTCTGATGATATCAATTTAATATGGATCTCACCTTTAAGATACGAGAGTTACATTTCCTTACTATTTTTAGCTTACTTTCCTGTGTACTTCTATAGGTACATGTATTGGACTGACTGGGGAGAAATCCCGAAAATTGAGCGGGCAGCTCTGGATGGTTCTGACCGAATAGTACTGGTTAACACCTCTCTTGGTTGGCCAAATGGTTTAGCCTTGGATTATGATGAAGGCAAAATATACTGGGGAGATGCCAAAACAGACAAAATTGAGGTTTGTTTCTTACTTTTTCATTTTAAAACCAGTTTTATAATAGTTTTTGAGTTGATGGTAATTTTGATATAATCTTGTATCTTAACAGTTACCTAGGTTGCTAAAGGTATCTTTTCACAGACATTTTACTCAGCCTTCATGATTCTAGGGATAATGTATTCTCTTTTACACAGTGGATTTGTAAGTTACATTGGTATGAGCAATAGGCATTCATTTATTTCCAGTTTTTTAAAAGGTTATGTAAATGGCTTTTGTCATTTTAGGTAAAACTATTGCCTGAATTTCCTGTTGGAAGTTTTTACAAACCAAAATTATCTAAGACTTGTGTTTGAAAACTGTCCTGAGTTAGGAAGGCAAAGCCCACGTGTGTACATAACTTCTGTTGTTGTTAGTAGTGTTGGTGGTAGGGTATATTAGATATTAAGATGATTGTAGGCAATCACCTTTTAAATTGACTTGGGGGCTACATGGGAAAAAGATTAATTAACCAAAGCTTTGCAAAAATTTTTACTAAGTGGTAGGTTTGTGATAATCAAATAGAATTATAGTGAAAATTCTGGTTAATATTTTATCTCCAAGTTTTATAAATGACATATGTCATCCTCAATGTCGAGTGTGAAGCCTAAAATTCACAACTTTGAATTCGGTTATGGTAGACATTTTATAAACCATATACTTAAAACAGGGTTAGGATCTCAGTAGGGGTTATAGCGCTTTGCCTAGAAGGAATGGCATTGAATGACTCTTCAGAGAATCCCTGCACATATCTAATGGATAGTACATTCAAACGCTAGAGCAGTTATTTTAGAAAGGTAATTCTGAGGAGTGCCGGGGACGGGAATAATGAATTAAAAGACCGTCTTTCCAGGATGGAAAGTTGGAATAGAAGGAACCCATTAGTATTCCACGAGGCTCCAGTACTGAAAATGACATCTCTTATTTATTCTTGCAGCTGGTTTCCATTAGTAGAAAAATTTGCATAGACTATATAAATTTTCTCCCTGTTAGTGTTTTACTGCTCCCCATCCCCCCTGCCTTTTTAAAAATTCAAGTTAACGTTTGAATCTTTTAACAGCTGGAGTGCAGTGCTAATGAGACAAAGGTTATGGGTTCACTTTCCAGACAGACTGTTAGCTTCATTTGAGTCAGCTTGGGTACAAATTGCCCACCCAATCCCAGCTAGTGCACAGTTGTATATCGCTGACAGCTTTAGACTGTACATGAATGTAGAGGTATTACTATTCTTAGGGAAAAGGTTTAAAACCCATGTATTCTTGAAGAATGTCCATAGCAATACAGTTTAAGCAAGAGATGAGCACTTGTTTTATTATTGTATAAAGATTTTTAAAATTCTATATTCGGTCTTGGCATTTTTAGCTTACTGTGACTGATTTATTAACTTGAAAATAGCATCATTTATTTCTTAATGGGAATTTATCAAGTCCTACTTCCCCTACTCCAGATATATTTAATACTTTAGATACTAGAAATTTACATAAGATCACAAATATTAGATCGTCCATAAAGTCATGACGTATTTTCTTATGCAAAAATACATTCAGGAGAGATTCAGATAAGGAAATAAAAATTTGTGGAGATTCTGACAGTGTTTAAGAATTAAAATGAATGCATATTATATAACGGTGATATCAGTGAATATAGTAGATTTTTATAATAGTCATGCATGTGTATTTAATGGTGTCGTTTGCTTCCTCGCTCCTTCTTCCCTGCGTAGACCAGTGCCCTTAAGTCTGCCATTCATTCATTAATTTGTTATTTCTTCCATGAGTAAGAGAGACAGACAGACGGCATCCCCCAATGGGGTTCTGTGCTTCAGTCCACTCCTATCTCCAGCTGGAACTTCAGCCAGCCCAGGTTGGTGAGCACATGTGTGCCCAGCTTGGTCAGGGAGGTCTCTGAATGTGAGCCAGGGACCTTCCCTTGTAGGTTGGCCTTGCAATATGTTGCATTTTCCTCTGCTCTACCATCAGCCCCATAACAATTGCCTTTTACATCCTGTTTCTCCTGCTAGGTTTTCTGAATACAACTGCTTTTTCTTTATTTTTTAGGATTTTGCCATAGGGCACGTGTACTTTGTCCTTTTTTAAAAAAATGTTTAATTTTATTTATTATTCTTATTTTTAATTTGCTATAGAGCACATGCACTCACCAGAGAGAGAGAGAGAGAGAGAGAGAGAGAGAGAGAAAGAAAGAAAGTGAGAAAGCCGGAAGTCACCAAGTCCAGGATTCAAACAATGGTCAGCCCTGTGTGTGTCCAGCACCCAGCACACCACCTGTGGGCTCACTTTGTCTTCTTTTTGACATACTGTTTTGTGTTGTAAATTTACTTTTATCAAACTACACACATAAAGACCCCTTCCCTTAGTTTTTTTCTGGAGATTCTGGTGAGGTTTCAGTTTTGGGCATCATGCTTTAGCTATTTTCTTTTCCCAGATAAGTATGGGAAATATATTTTCTGTCCTGAGACTAGTTCTAATTATAGTGGCAACTTCTCCTATCAGGTTTTTATCTCTTTTTACCAAGTAATAGGCAAATAATATTGAATTTGAAAACTTTCGGAAAAATAAGTAATTGTAAAAAAAAAAAAAAGCCTTTCCCCCCAAGCAGTGTACTCGCTAGCCTGTTGTCACAGAGCAGCTGACCACAGGAGCCTGGCCCGACCTCAGTCTGGTGATATGCTTCCTTCTAGCCCCGTCCTCCCGAGATAGTGTCTCAGCTTTTGTCATGCCCGGGAATGAAAGTTGCTTGTCCCTGCAACTGTAAAAGATCATCAAATTATGGTAACTCTGTTCTCTTCTGGAAGACTTAGAATTTATTTGGGATCAAACTGACCTATTTGTACTGATGGCAGTTGGGAATTAAAAAGTAAATTTAATTTGGTAAATTTTTATGTAGCAGTGAAAGGTACACTCTTACGTGTTTTGAGCAGATCACTTGGAAAGAGCTTAGAATGTTCATTCACTTCTGCTGTCTACTCCTTCAGTGGGGATTCCTTCCATCAGCTTCTCTCTCCCTCTTTTGTGAGTGGTAAGGTGACTGTATTCAAGTCTAAGGGTGAAGGAAACCAGGGAGAAGGAATGGGGAGCTCTGGGTTTCAGACTTGATTTTTTTTTTTTTTTTTTTGGCACAGAGTTGTAGAAAGAGTTAATAGGTTAGCCCCTGGTTTATAATTAGTTTCTGGAAAGAAAGATGAGACACAAGGTATTGTTAATGATGTCACATAAAAGAAAAAAAAAAAGACAGTGTAATATTGGCTGCTGCTTTAATTTAATAATGGATATGCTGAGCATATGTCTGCTTTCTCTGCTTGTCAGCTGATAGTACCCATGTTCTCATAGGTGTTATTTAAAAAGTGCTTGCTGGTACTTGTTTATGTTTCTCTTCATTATGGTAAAATGATTTCATTGTTTTTCTGTGAACAAACTTTCTGCTTTACTTACCTGCACTTGCCTTTCCTCACACCCATTTTTACTGTGGTACATTTTACTGTTCTCGGACATCCTGACAGTAAATACTAAAGCACGAGCTGAAAGAATTATTTCCTTTTTTTCTGGAAGGGGAAGCATCAGAAAGCTTTTACAAGGGGTCTTCAAAAATGTTCTTAGACTTGGGAACCAGCAGTTAGCGTAATGGCTATGTTGCTGGATTCCCACGTAGTCGACCACGGTTCGTGTCCCGGACCCGGTGGCTTAAAACTCACGCCGGGCGCATGTGCGTGCATGCCCAAGATCCCAAGAGGAGAATGGAGGAGAAGGGATTGCGGCGTGATCATCCCCTCTGGGGGGTGATTTCTCACTTTCTGTCTCTATGTCTCTCTCTGTCTGGCGAGCGCACGCGCCCTATAGCAAAAACCTCTCCCCCCCCAAAAAAAAATGTTCTTAGACTATTTGTGTTATGAAAAAAACTACTTGTGGATTTGAAAAATTTTTTGCACCATAAGAAACTTGTCCTTTAATTTTCTTTTTCACAAACATTTTGAAGTCCCCTTGTATTTTTATTTTACATGAGCCTATGATAGAGCAACATTATTTCTTTCTTTTTTTTTTTTTTTTTTGAGAGGTTTTCGCTATAGGGCGCGTGCGCTCGCCAGACAGACAGAGAGAGACAGAGAGACAGAAAGCGAGAAATCACCCCCCAGGGGGGATGGTCACACCGCAGTCCCTTCTCCATTCTCCTCTCGGGATCTTGGGCACGCACACACACGTGCCCAGCGTGAGTTTGAAGCCACCGGGTCCGGGACACGAACTGCGGTCGACTACGTGGGAGTCCAGTGACATAGCCATTAGGCTAACTGCTGGTTCCCTGAGCAACATTATTTCTTAACATCCTCCTTTTTCTGGGGCACATTTCACTGCCTGAAACATGTACTGCACTGATGCCTGCAATACTGCTTACCAATAGCAAGATGTCATTGGTAATTTATAAGTTCAAAGTATTTCTTACCCTGATATCAAATTAAGAGTGTACCATTAGCCTGTATTTTTCTAAGGATGTTTTTCTCATTTTTGTCAGTAACTAACTGACAAAATTAATATATTTTGAATCACTGGTCTTATGGGAAACAATAATAGCTAAACTTTCCTTATGGTTTATTCTGTCACTACACTCTTGATTTCATCACCCCCTTTTTCCTCCTTGGTTTCTGAGCTTCTGCTGACAATGGAGCAGTACCAGTAGTTATAGGTAAAAAGAGAAATTCTCTTGTCTGCTTGAAGGGCATGTGGTTTTGTTTTAAATTTCCCTTAGTTATAAATCTTTCTGCTTTAGAGGATACAGTGTCCATAGGTAGTTTTGTCCAGATCTAATTATACCTGGCACAGCTCTGTTGAGAAACAGAAGTGGGGATTATTAGAACCTTTAGTACCAAGAAATTTTGAATAAAGAGAGTATTATTGTGGATGATGCCTGCTGAAAACTTGGCAGTTGGTGAATGTTCTGCTTCATGTTCAGAGCTTGAAATTGCAAGACTACATTTTCAA